GATGATATCACAAAGACGATCACCTATCATGCATCTCCTACTGGTGGGTCGGCATTGTGGCCTTAGACCCACCGCTACTGGAAGGTAACTCACCTCGAAGTAGCTGCTGAACTGATAGGGAACTGACTGACTGCTGCTGCTCCGGGAGTCCTCCGGCTACAATTCCCACAACATACCCAATCAAACACTGCTAACCGTCCTATGGGTAAAATGACTATTTTACCCCTGGATAACTCTAAGCCAAAGCTGGAGTCAACTTCTCAGTTGACCCGACTCGCCGAGTGGATCACCACTCGCCGAGTCCTAAGCAACCAATGTCCTTGGGTCCTGGTTCTACTCGTCGAGTCGGGCTATGACTCGACGAGTCCGCCTCCTAACTGTCATTCCATCGCCTTCATCCTACTCGCCGAGTTGTATGAACAACTCGTCGAGTTCATCTTCATCCGATGAACACTTTCTGCTAAGACTCGCCGAGTTGTATGAACAACTCGCCGAGTCTGTTCTTGAGCTATGAAGATTGCCTTGGACTCGCCGAGTCAGAGCATTGACTCGCCGAGTCCTAACATGGGTGAGTTCAGCTCCCAACTCACCGAGTCACCCCCTGTGACTCAAGGCTCAACTCGACATATGAATAAGGGACCAAATCGACGACTCGCGACCAGACTCGCCGAGTCACCCATGCGACTCGCCGAGTCGTCGCCATGCACTCCTTAAATATAGCGATTTACTCGATTCCAGTCCATGCCATTCATAGATCTGGACTTCTAGGGCACGAATCACACGTAAAGTTTCCAACTTTACGTGTGGATATGCACCAAAATGAATTATAAGGCTCAAAATGTCTCAAAAGGATAGATCTAGAGCTAGCAAGCCACATGGGGCCATAAAGCTCACAGATCTGAGCTCCTGGAGCTTAGTATTGCACAGATCCAAAGGCCAAACGCCTTATTACGCCATAATAAGTACTTACACACTTGAGGAATTAACTAAGATGGACCCAAATGAAGTTTTAAGCATAGAATCAAGGGGAAAACGAGTTATACCTCAAAGGAGATGTTGGAAGAACACAATAATTGCCTGGATGGCTTCCTTTCTTCTGAACCTACTTCCTTTCCTCCTTCAAAGCCTTTAAAACACACAACAAAGCTTCAAATCTTCAAAGAACAAGCACAAACGAAGGTTGGGAGCTCTGGGGAGAGAATGGGGGCTGGCCTGGGGCGGATAAGCTGTTTAAATAGGGTGCAAACCCCTGAAACTTAGGGTTTCATCCAACAGCTGTGACTCGCCGAGTCCAGGATATGGACTCGTCGAGTCGCCTACTTAAAACGTGTCCTGAGTCCCGTCCCTACTCGGCGAGTCGGACCCTATGACTCGCCGAGTCCAAGGCTAAATTAGGGCAATGCTCAAATAAAATTCACATACCGGAAACCAGGTGCTACAACAGATTTCAAAGATGGACTCAATTTTCTCGAACCATCGAGATAAGTAAATGACACCTCCAGCGCCATTAAAGGATGTTGGTTTTGCGTTCATGAAATCCTTGTAGGAACCCCCTCTTTGGTGTCCCTGGCTACCCTCAGGATTTTGAGATTGAGTACCACCACCTGAACCACCAGGGTTCATTTGTGACATAGCTGCCACCATTGCAGCGGTCCTCATTGTCTGGAGCGATGTTAGATCGAACTGGGGAGGAGGTGGCGGCGAAGAAGGATTGTCGTTGTTCTTTGAGTTGTGTCTCTTTCGGGGAGGCATCTAGATCTAATAAGATCAAGGAAAAGAGGATGGTAACTCCTCTACATTGAATCGATAGACATGACAGTTATATGATTCGAGTAAGCGATAAAGCAGGAAAAAGTTATCGAACAGATAATTTATCGCTAAGAGTAATCACAGAAAATCACTCGAATGAGGATTTCTACAGAGGATCGGGATCGAGAAATACTCCCATAGTATTTCATGAATTGTTTACGACAATGATTCGATGTTGGGATATTAGGGTAAGTTTTAGGCATGTCACATACCACAGTCACTCCCAAGCACATGTTGGCCGTGTCTCGAATGAATATAGTTGGCCAGGCTATATTGATCCTAGACACGACTACATAACTGCCCAGGTTTAACCGTAGTACACAACACCTATTTATTTATGTTCTGTTCTACTTGTGGTTACGGATGACGATGGTTCGGTATACTTGTATACTTTTGAAAATACTTGTAGTTTGAAGATACTTTTAATTCAGAGCACTTAGGCCCTTTAGTTTTTATAGTTTTATACCATGTAAGGTTTGGTATACTTCATTCACTATAAACAAGGGCTCTGATACCAATCTGTCACACCCCGAAAACCGAAGGCGGAATCATTTCCGGGGTTGACTCCATGTTGAGTATCAAATCCAATGCACATAGTAAGTAAAGTAAAACAACCAAAACATTATATAATAAAAGTTTTACAGTTGTTCAAAAATAAAGTTTGTACAGTTGTGATACATAGTATATATATAGACAAAATGAAATGGATCTTCATGTACTCCGTCTTCGAGCAAAAGGATCTTCGGGTACCTGTTCTAACGCTGACCTGAGAACACAAGCGGTTTAAAAATCAGCATAAAGCTGGTGAGTTCATAAGCGGTTTTGTTTTATTAAAATGTATCGGTTTCCTTTCTGTATCTGAAATGTTATGTTCTCCAAGAAAATCCCGTATTTTCTTAACGTTGGTTATTGTTTCACAAATGTAAAGTATAGTAAGTTTGTACACTGAAAATATGTTTATTCATGTGAAAATGTATAGTTGGTTATCTGACCGGTTGAACTGTTCTGTTTACTTATCATGTGTTACCAGGAAAGTCCCATACTTTCCTTATTGTATGTTACAAATTGTAAAAGATGTAATGTTCTCCAGTTTGTTACTCTTTCTAGTTATGTAAATGTTACCCAGGAAAGCCCCATGTTTTCCTGCATGTATGTATCTAATGGAAACGATGTTAAAGATGTAAAAGATGTAATCGTGATTAGATTCTATGTTTTCCCCAGGAAAGTCCCGTACCTTCCTGAATGTTGGTTAGAGTAAGTAGAAGATGTAAAAGATGTCAAAGATGTAAACGATGTATAAAGTAATCCATTATTACGGTAAATAAATGTCTGTTATCCTAATTGCGAGTTCCATAACCATACAATAGACTGAAACCTGTGGCAATAAGTAGTCCACATGTGGCAATAAGTCGTCCACATACTTATGACTTTCGTCACCCTTGAACCATTTTTGGTTCGGCTGTAGCTAGCAGCCAGGTGTGGGGTAGTCAGCCCCGTATAGATCTATACACTCAAGTCACGCTCTCTAAGTACCAGAGATTCTAGTTATGGGTGTAGTCCTCCACTCGCGTAATCTGGGTGGAGTGTTCTCCGAGGACGTGTCTCCAATCATACAGGAATAACAAATTTACTAGTAATAATATGATAGTCCTCCACTCGTATATGTGTGGGTAGTGTTACCGAGGACAAAACAGTGTACAGGTATTATGTTCAAATGTTTTAATGTCGTGCTTTTAACTGATAAAATGTGGAAAACCATTTGTGAAATACATGTAAAACATACTATTTTAAAGACTTATTTCACAAATATATGTTACGTGATCTGTATGTTCAATTTGTTATCAGTTGTAATATCAGTTATAAAAGCATAAGAATATGAAACACACATTTGAAAACATGTTTTGAGTACAAGAATTCCCTTGTACTTTGCTTTTGTTTACCCCCTGATAACAATGGAAAATAGTGAAAAAGGGTAGGGGTATGAACTCACCGGACTCGGAAACGTGTTGGTTTTGAATGCTATACGTTGGTTCGGGGTTTGATTACTCGCGATGACCCTATGTAAAATGATATAATGTCCATATATATACAATTAGAGATACACACTACTAGAAAAACAGCCTTTTACGACGCGCAATTTATGATACGCATTGATTTATAACACGCAAAAGTGGGTAACCTAAAAATAATGTCAGCTCTTTAAAAATTTTAAGGATTTCAGACGCGCATTTTTGCCTACCCTAAAATTAGTGTCAGAAAAAAAACACGGAGGGCGCTTATTATAAAATGTGCGTCATCTAGACATGTCGTTTTATATTTTTTAATGAAACACGGGTTGTTTAGTTGCAAGCGGGAAAAGAAAACCCAAAAATTAGAAAAGCCCGCTTTCCCTTCCCTCTTTCCTCTTTGCCCTAAGCATTTTTTGACGCATCGTTCTTTATCCCCACAATCGACGATACATCTTTCCCCTCCCCACATCGACCGCCAACTACTCCCCTCGCACTCCGGCCACCGCTATGTGCTCTTTCATGGTCGTCGACCCTCCGCCATCGCCGACCCTCCGCCATCGTCAACGTCGAGACGAGCAGTGGTAGAGAAGATGTCGGAGAGTCCTCTGGTGCCGGGGTTCTCACTGGCAGCTCATCCGGAGATAATGAGAGCAGCGCGGTAAACCAAATTTCAGGGGCAAATTTGTCGATCCATTTTTAGGGTTTATTCCCACTCATCATTCCATCGCATCCTCTTTCAATTTCTTAGTGTAATATCTCTCACAACTCAAAGATAACGATGCATGAACTGAAAGCCGACTTCTTCATCGTGGAAGTACTCCGTCTTCATTCTGCTATGGTACGTCAGTAATCCGTTGCCTTCCAAGCAAGATTTCGCATTCTCCATTCAAAGTCGGTGCTAGGGTGAGCTCGATGGAGCTGCTTCTTCGTAATCCCACTGACACCCTCTTCATCTGTTAAGGTTCCTTCTCCGCCGACCTTATCTGATTCTCCGTAATCCCTCCAACACTCCTCGACATCTACGAGGGTTAGTACTTCTCGACTCGGTCCTGGTCTTATTCTTTGCTAGTATGCTTCTTTTCTTCCCCTGTTTACTGTTAAGATATATTTGATTTGTGGTCAATGTTCTTATTGGTCAAAATTGTTTGTCTCAAAGAATTGATCAAAGTTTTGAAAAAGAAAATGATTCCAGTCAGCAAAAGAGATGATATAAAAGGTAAATTTCTTTTCTTTTTAGTGTTTTCTTTCATCAGATTCTCTAAACTCTAAAGATTCTTTTCTTCCTGTTCACAGCCATAGCTTCCATCTCTGCTGGAAATGATGAATTTATTGGAAACTTAATTGATGAAGCCATTGATAAAATCGGTCATGATGGAATAATTTCTATTGAATCATCTTCATCAAGTGAAACTTCTGTGATTGTTGAAGAAGGAATGAAGGTATCAAGTGAAATACATCTTGTGATATTTTATTCATACATTCTTTTTATCTTTTTCATTTTCATATTTTAATGTCTATTCAGGAATACTTTCCCTACAGATCGACAAAGGATACATGTCTCCTCATTTTGTCACAAATCAGAACAATTTGTCTGTGGAATTTGAAAATGCTAAAGTCCTGATAACAGATCAAAAGATATCATCTGTGAAAGAAATTGTCCCATTGCTAGAAAAGTGTACTCAATTAAGTGTCCCTTTGCTCATTTTTGCTGAAGATATCTCAATCTCAGTTCTTGAAACCCTAATTGTTAACAAAAATCAAGGTTTACTTAGGGTTGCTATTGTGAAATGTCCTGGTGTTGGGGAACGAAAGAAAGCTTTACTTCAAGATATTGCCCTCATGACAGGTAATTCTGTAACAAAGGCTGTTTACAAGGGCTATATTGATAAGAATGTTTGGGTTGGTCTCAAATCTCTGCCTGTTGCTGTTAAGGTTCTCAACAAGGAGGGTCTTCAAGGCCATAGAGAATGGCTTGTAAGCTCCTCTAGTTCTCTGTCCTTCTAACAACTAGTTCTTTGTTTTGTTTTATCTTCCTTATACCATTCTAATCTATATCTGTAATGGCATTTTTTGTTGTAGACTGAAGTTAATTTCCTTGGTCAGCTCAGACATCCCAATTTGGTGAAATTGATTGGATATTGATGTGAAGATGACCACAGATTGCTTGTTTATGTGAGAGAAGGCATTTTCAACAGTGTGGACACCGGACTATATTGCTCCTGATCTGAAGTGTTGTTGAAGAAAGGACATGGGATGGATTGTGTACAGCCTGGTAATCTTGCAACCAACGTGAAAACCATCTTCACTTGCCTTCTAGACCAAGTTGTTGATCCATGGATTTATTGATTCTGATGTCCATTTGCTTTTTGGAGGACTCCAGGTTCTAAAATCCCTCACCTTCTTCATATTATATAGATATAACATTTGTGTTTTGTTCTTTTCAGTTTAGGGCTAAATGCAAATCATAGCAACATACTTTAATTTATTTGTGCATTTCTTTCATCATTATAACATTATACTTTAAATATATTTATCTTACAAGCCATTAATTGTATTTTGAAAATTCTATTTTTTTCTCATCAAGACTTAAATTTTAATGTACTTCCAACTATGATATGCTTATATTACACCTCATCATCCTGTAAGAAAAAACTAAATACAAATTATATAAACTGTAATTAAACCCCACTTAATCACAATTAGTCTTTTCAATCTTGACAGGTATGGCTTTCAAGAATGGATGGCCACATGGGATTGGCTAACTCTTTAGCTTTAAAATTAGTTGGAGTTACAAGTAACATGCATGATCCAGTTGTGGAATTATTAGCAGGAATGCAAATGGAGGTATAAATATGGCCTCCAAGTTACAGATATGGAAATTTTATCTAATATGACTGTTCAATCCGACAAATATGGCCTCCAGGTATTTTTTTTTTATTTTTTCATTTATCTTTAAAAATGTGGTTGTAAATATGTAAAATGACTTACTAGTTGAGCAATTTTTTTCATCGGCTTGCTATTAATGCTATTGGAGATAAGGCCAATGACTTGATCTTGGATATGTATAAATCAGTTGTCTCAACATTTGAGTCATGGAAGTGTAGCCAAGTTTGGTGAACAAGGGATTGTTGCTTCAGTGATATTATATCATAGCTTGTTCAACTCTACTACCTGTGAAAGATTAATACGGAGTAAAATCATTGTTCATATTCATAAAATTAGTTCCCTAGACCAATTTTACTACCTACAGAAACTTTCATCTGATAGAATTTTGTTGTTTACATGTTAACAGAGTAATTGTGTCCTTGAATTATGTATGATCATGAGCCTCTAAATAGAAAGTTCAAGCACTTTATATTCTTGTCAAGTGAGATTAGATCACTGAATTCTTAATTTACAATCTGGATACTATAGGCTGAGGCTGACAGGGAAGCAGGGGGAAACAAGGGTGTTTCTGACAAGCAAATTCGTTTAAAGATTTTCTCTCCTAATGTTCTTGACATAACTCTGGCATCAGAACAATGATAATGTCATGCATTAAGGCTCCCAACTGTTTAATTCTTGCTGTGACACCAACAAATTCATACCTTGCCAACTCAAATGCCCTGTAGATTGCTGGAAATGCTATCCAGGTGGTATTTGACTCCATGCACGAGAGGCTGCGTACACATGCTGAATATGTTGCTTCCTTTGGAGTTGGTGCTCGAGAAAAAGTGGTAACTCCTCTCCTCTTTCTTTTTTATATTTCCTTCCACAAAGGAGAATTTTGGAATATAATATTAATAATAATAATACTACTTGAATATGGTTTGTCTGACAGATGATTGAGTCAAGATTTAATGAGCTTCTTGCTCATGCTAAAATACTTCTGAGGAAGAAATGGTTATTTGGAGTACTGGATGACTTTGTCACCAAACAACTACCCCACAATGTTACTTGGGGATTGAGCTTGTTATATGCTATGGAGCACAAAGTTGATCGTTCATTGACTTCCACTCAAGGTCAATTCCCATTCTCAATTCCGATTCATCATGACATTTGTTTACCACAATTGGAAATAGTTTAGTAGTTGTGAATCGATTACCTGAACCTAATGAAATTTAGGCTTTTATTTTTTTGGTTTGGATGTGAGTGGATTTTTTTGTTAGCAGGTGAGCTTGCACAAGCATTGCGGTTTTTGGCATCAGTTGTATCTCAAAGCTTCTTGGCCTTTGGTGACATCTTGGAGCTGCATAGAAAGTTCATCGAACTGTCTGGTGGTGTTCATTGGATTTTTGAACTTGAGGAACTTCTTGATGCTGCACAATCTGGTTAGTGTTTTATCTAATCTTCTAGGCTGTTCCTTATTTACTAATAATCTGATGGAAATTGCAGATGAAAATGCCAGTACTTCATCAAAGTCCAATGAGGAATCTGAGGATGTTATCTCTTTTTCGGAGGTTGATATTATCACGCCAACACAGAATTTATTAGCCAGAAAGTTGACTTGCGAGATAGTATCAGGGAAAAGCCTTCTTCTTACCGGTTAGTGTTATGGTCAGAGATAATGATTATAAATACTTGTGAGGATTAAAAAAAAATAAAAAAATAAAATGAAGATATAGTTACTGCTACTACGAGTAAATAAGAAATTATTTGGTACAAGAGAATGTAAGTTTCTATGCCATATCAATGTTAAGTTGAAATTAGAAAGTATAGTGTTCATTTCTTAGAACAAATATATAATTACTCATATATTACTTTATCAGAAAGGATGTTTATGATCTTCATCAAGGTGTGCTAGGTAAATGCTATATTTAACATTAAGATATATTAGAAAATGAGAAATGAGTTAATTTATTTATTTTGATTTGTTGTTCATCAAGCTGGTTTGTATGCATCCTATTCTATGTCCAACACAACAAGGATGATGATGGTGCCTTTATATCTTCTTAAACTGTTACCTAATAATTTTTCTCATCTTATTACATCATATTTCTTCATTTTTAACTCCTTAATTTATCAATCTAATCATTATTAACTTCATTCTTGTAAAACCAGGTGTCTATGCTATATAATGATTGGTTTTCCTCTTTCACAGTTTGTAACATCTTGTATTCAAGAAATAGCAATGTACTTTCCATAAAAAAATTATATATTATATTCTTTGAAAAAATTGCTAGATTGGTAGGTTTAAAAGTATAATGTCCTAATACGAATTAATTTTAAAAGTAGAATTAAATTGACAAGTGATTTTGTGTTGTGTTTTTACAGGATTGATGAAAGCGAATAGATCTAAAGTTAGAAGAGGAAAAGAAAGCTCAAACTGAAAGAGATAAGATGCTGCAAATGCAAGTGTTGCATTCTTCATTTCAATTGTTAGTATGAAACAAAGAGTAAATTAGATGAATGCAAATTTATATATTGTAAGAAATAGAATTGTATGACATTAAATTTTATGCAATGGATTGTATTTTTTGTATATGGTATCTTATTTCTATTATGAGACATTAAATGCAAGTTTAATTTAAAAATTAATAAATATATAAATATATTTTTTTTAAACATTTAAATTTACGATATGCAAAATTGTGTGTCATCTTCATTTATGACATGGCATTTCTTGACAGAGGTTTTAATGGTACGCATTACGTGTCAGTAACACGCGCGTCGTAAGGTTACGACACGCAAATGCGTGTCGTCTTCCTTTATGACAGGGCCTTCCCTGATACGCATTGCGTGTCGTAAACGCGCGTCGTAATTGCGCATCGTAATTGCGCATCGTCTCTCTTTATGACAGGGCCTTCCTTGATACGCATTTGCGCGTCGTCTGAGCCTTTTACGACACGCAATGAGCGTCGTAAAAGACTGTTTTTCTAATAGTGACATTCACTAATCATATGGAACATTACACTCCAATGAGGTTAAACACCTCAAAACGAGCGTTTGGAGTGACCCGGGTGACATCTTCGGACTTGTAATGGCACTAGGGACTTGGGACTTGAGTTTACTCTCCATAAGTAAACATTTAAAAGAGTTTACAACTATGGAACACACACATACATGAGTTTACGGCCATAAACTCATATGGGTGTGGTTTTGATGGTTTATGGGCTCAAATGGACATAGGGGTTGCTAGAATGGATTATCTAAATTGCCTCGGAACACTTGGAATGAGTTTAAATCATCAAAAATGATTATTTTATGGGAGTTTACGGCCTAATATAGGCTCCTGGCCGTAAACTCCTTAATCTTAGTGAAAATGATGTTTAATGTTGTTAAAACAAATCACATGTGATTACTAGAATTATTCCAAGACCTTACATGAGTTTTATGGGACATTTGAGGGGTGTTATGGAGTTTACGGCCCATGAGACCCTCCTCATGGCTGTAAACTCTTATGTAGGGTCATACAAAGTGTTTCAAGGTCTAAAACTTGCATAGAAGGGCTTCTAAAATTCATCTAAAGGCTTTAGGGGTGTTTAGTTTGCATTCTAACACCAAAAGTTTTGGAGTTTACGGCCCAAGAACAAACCTTGGCCGTAAACTCTTATAAATCCCACAAATGATGTGTTTTAGGCCCTTAAAGTATTTTTGGTTGGTCCCTTGATTTATTCCAAGGCTTTTGGTGGTGTTGGATGGCTTTCTAACACCTTAGAATTGGATTTATGTCATATTTGGGGAGTTTACGGCCTAAGCACTCTCATTGGCCGTAAACTCACATAAGTCCCATAAAATTCATGTTTCAAGTGTCCAAATGCTAAAACCAAGGTCCTATAATTCATATCTAAGCCATAGAAGTGATTTGGAAGGGTTTAAGGGCATGAAAACCCTAATTATATGAGTTTACGGCCCAAGAATGTTCCTTGGCCGTAAACTCCTTCAAATGGCTCAAAATCTATGTTTTAAATGTTTAGAGTCCAAATCTTGAAGTCCCATAGCCATATCTAAAGTCCAATTGAGTTTAGGAAGGAGTTTAAGGGCTTAAAACCCCATTTAATGGAGTTTACGGCCCAAGCTTGTTCCTTGGCCGTAAACTCATGTTCTTGGACCTAAAACTCAATTATTTCATCAATTTGAAGGTTAAAGATGCTGAATAACATGCTAGGGAGGTTACCTTAAAGATTTGAAGCCTTAAACTTGAGATTTGGACCTTAATTCTAGCTTGAGGAGAGAGGTTGTAAGAGTTTAGTGAGAAACTTGCCAAAAGGCTTCAAATGAAGTCTTAAACACGTTTATATAGTGTTTAAGTTTTGGACACGGTGGAATTCTACCCGATACCGGCGTTAGACGGGGTTTTGGTCGTACCCGATTAAGTTACCGTAACCCGATACGGTAATATCTAGAAATATTCCGATCACTAAAGTTGAGTGTTAAAATGATTTTTAAATGTATTAAGACACCCATTAAGTCATTTTAAATGTGTACCAGATAATGACTTAATTATACGGAAGATCGGAAATCGAAATCGGAACGAAGATCGGTTGTGCGAATTGTACTACGAAAGAGTTACAATAAATGATATGGAAATTTCGGGTTGTTACATCGGGGCACGAGAACATCTCAAAGATGGCTTCAGTTCTTTCGATCCATTGGGACAGTGCAATGATCCCTCCGGTTCCATTGAAGAATGTGGGTTTGCAGCTCATGAAATCCTTATAGGTACACCCCTGTGTACGAGAGTGGATTTCACCATGTCTAGAGTTGGTGCCCATTCATGCTCCACTTGCATCACCAGAATTTATTTGGGTCATAGCCGCAGTCACAGTTGCGGCCTATCTGAAACATCACTGGATCGAACTGTGGAGGAAGAGGTGGTGGA